GGGGGACGCGCGATGGGGTGTCCGCGGGTGAAGGCGGGTCGTCTTGGTTTTGGTCCTTTTGGAGTGCATTCGCGCGCGTCGACCGAACGTGGAAGGGCCTTATCGCGGCTTCGGGAGGTTAATAATGACAGGCCTGGACAGGCATGGCGGTAGCACGTGTCGCCGTGGTCGTTCCGTTTTCCCGCCAAGAGGACGCGACGTCATGGACGGTCCTTCTCCTAGTGTCATTTCAGTGTTGCGCGTCCGAAGCCGCATAAATGTAGTCCGCACGAGGGTGATTCCACAACGCTTCTCGTTGTGTCAGGTGCACACTTCCCGCCGCGCATCTGCAGTGCCACAACGCTTCTCGTCGGGCGCGCTACAAGGTTCCCGCCGCACATCTGTAGTGCCACAACGCTTCTCGCCGGGCCAGCTGCACACTTCCTGTCGCGCATCTGCAGTGCCACAACGCTTATCACCGTCATCGCTTCCGCTCTTCTGGCAGTCAGTCTTCTCGCCGCGGAGCACTCCCGCCATCGCCAAGGACAGGTGTCGTCAGGGACATCATCCTTTCGTGGTGCGCTTGGGCGTCATCGTCATCCTGCAGCGGAGGACACATCTTCAGCGTAGTTGGGATAGCCTGTCTGGCCAAGCTGGCAAGAGACGGGTGACATCTTTTTCGACGAAACAGCACACGTTAGTTGAGCGCTACACCGAGATCGCTTGTGGGGACCCCCAGCAAGCATGTCTGCGCGATTGGACGCCCGTGGCAAGAAGCGAGACGTCGCGCTCGACGAAACTGAAGCCCAGGGGAAAGGTCGTCGGCACGTCCCAAAGGCGAGGAGGCCACGTTTGGATGATGCGTCAGCAAGCGTGCCGCATCGTGGTGCGCGAGGTTGGTCGCAGCCGGCGGAAGAGGACAACAACGATGATTTCATGACGGACGACGATCAAGGCGAGGCGACGGCGCCTGCAGGACGGGAGAGTGCCAGGCAGCGTACTCCGGATCAGAGCGCTTCGAAGAGGATGTCAACCCCTCCGCCGGAGGCGCAGCAGCTGCGTGTCCGCGAAACGTGGAAAGAGAAGGGTGTTGTGGTGGACCTTGGCGGCGAAGACGACGAGCCTTTGGAGAGACGTCGCCTGCGCAGTGCGACACAAGCGACCACAGCGGCGGTGTCGACGGCTCGCGCTGCGGACGACGAAAGGCTGATCACAGGTGCACTGCCCTGCACGCCGTCTCAGCCGCGTCAGCGCAACGACGGTGGTGACGGTGCGTCTCGCCAATGAGGTGATGGTGGGGGAGTCGTGGCGGACACGCGTGCAGCAGGAGTGGAGGCGGCAGGTGGCGCGGGTGTGGCTGTTGCAGGTGTTGTCCCTTCCGTTCCGGCGGCAAGAGAGGAGGTTGCAGTTCCGGCGACGGTGAGAGAGGAGGGTCGTGGACAGAACACGAACCAACGCGATGGCGGCAAGGCCGCTTCAAGCCGAGCACGCAGGGGAGTAATGACGAATGAACTTATCGTCCGTGCGCTTCTTTGGATGGATGACAAATGTTTCTAGACGACGGGTGAAGGACGCAGACTTTACAACATCGTCCACGAAACCAAAGAGCACTTCGTCGCCATCGCCAGCGGGCTTCCGCCACCTCAACTTTCGCGGAGCGTTGTTGTCCCCAAATCCAGCACGAAGGTGGCGAGGATCGCAGACCAATCACAGCTCCAGCAGGCGATCTCCCGTGCGGCGGCGGTGGAGAATATAGCTCTGTGCATCTTTCACGGCTGGATTTGCAAGTTCGGGAACCGCCCAAGGGGGTACACCCTTGCGTTCCAGTACTCGTTGGAGTCCGTAGCGACGGACATTGCACGTGCAGTGTGGTACGACGAGGAGTGGCGCAACGTCGTCAACGCGCCGATCTGCGCCCACACGATATATTTTAACATGGACCTTCCACTGTGGTACGCCGGTGCGAATATCGAGGACAGACCTGAGGACGGCGACATGGCTGCGTACCAGGAGTCCACCGTCATCAGCATCGCGCATTTGTTCCGCGCGGCGGTGCAAATGGGCGCTTACATCGACGGCAATTTCATCTCCTACGAGCGTCTATGTCGGGTGGATGACTGCTTCAGGCTGTTGCTGGTGGCGTCCATGTGGATTATACGCATGGCGGGAGACGATCCGTGCAGTCACTACGAAGCGTTTTACTTCGCGGATCTCGTTGCCAGGCCGACACTAATCGCCTCCATGCATCGGTCCTTCGATCATCGACGATCCGTCGTCCGCGCCGGGAACGTCGTCACGGAGAGGCTTGGGAAGGCGAAAGTCACGCTCGGAGTGTACCCCGACTACATCCCTGATTGGGCACCATGCGGCATCGGATTTGCGCACGACGCGACCATCAAGGGGCCAGAGGATGCGAAGAGGCTGGATTGGTTGGGTTCGGGCCCCGCCCATGATGACATCAAAGGCGAAGGAAAAGACGATGCATAAGGCAGGCTGGTATGTGGGGCGAGAGCGAGGAGACAACGCTTCTAAGAACGAAGGCGCATGTACGCGTGGCGAGACGTGACGGGATGTCGTGTGATTGGAGTGTCGTGCGTGGCGCTGCTGATTAGCGTGTGGACCGCCGGGATTCGCCAGAGTCCTCCGTCATCATTGTGCACAGGTTTACTGTGGCGCCCGTGGCATAAGCACGGGTTGATTCAGTTCGATTGTGTCATTGTAGTTTCGGTGGTTAGCGTGTTCGTCGGAGGGATTCGGCTGAATCTTTGATGGTGGCGTAGGTGTTTAGTGTGCGGCCAATAGCGCCAGCACGGGATGAATGGTTTGCACCTTTGTTTTTCGTTTTTTTTTTTGTTGTTGTTTTAATCTTTTTATTTCTGCGTTCAGCGGACGTTGTTTTATCAATGCATGGTGCTCCTCGTTGTATCGGACGATTTGAAGCGCGTGGCGGTTGATTGTTGTTTGCCTTTTTGCGATGCGTGTGACAACTCTCACGACTCTCTCATATGTCGGTGTCATGAATGTGGTAATGTCTTTTGTGGGACACAAATGTCGTGCGTGTCATGCAGTGTCGTTGTCTGCGTTTCACTTGTTCTTGTTCTTCGTATTGGCTTCACGACATGCAATAGACATGCGATGATCATGGATTGAGAGAATGCATGACGGGATCGTATAGAAGCTTGTTGTACATGTCATTCCACCAGAACAGCACACAAAACCGGTCATGGAAACTGAAATGAAGATATGCACCAAAAAACGATAAAGATAATCAACATTTCCAAAAAAAAAAAAAAAAAAAAAACCAACCAACCAACCATGTTTCCCATCGCACGACACCGTTCATCACAAACGATTTTAAGACAGGAAACGTATATAACAAGACAAAAACTCCTGACGATGAGGACACACACTGGCAAAAAAAAGGTTCTTCCAATCTTTAAACTTCGCACAACTGTGCGAACCACGTGACCATCAACAACATGAAAACGATAATCTGAAATCGTTGACGACAATCATGCCGCCGTTCCATCGACCAACCAACCACGCGCACGACGACCATGGACACGGACCACGTAATAACTCCAACCGCCTACCGATCGAACCACCCCGTGTGCACCACCTCCCTACCGCACGGTCCTACATCAAAGTTAGGCGGTCTCGCAATGCATCCCTCAACAATTCACCTTCCACGTTCGTGCACCGTCCCCGCCCGCGAGCACCGTTTCCCACAATGCCCAAGTCCACTTTACGCCGAACGCCGTTCGCATCCACCTCCCACATAAGGTTCTCGTCGAAGTCGATCCCCGCGTCTAGGAGGATATTGTGGAGAGTGCAAACAGCCACGGATTGTTGTGGCAAGGTCTCTAGGTTCGTCTTATGGGTGCGCAAGAACAGACGCCACATGCACTTGAGTCGGCCGAATGCCCTCTCCACACACCCCCGTGCCACCTTTTGCCGCGTGTCGAAGCGCTCCTCGTCAGCACCTTGGTCGATTCCTCCGTACGGCGACACAATCCACGGACAGGCAACTGGATAACCGTTGTCGCCCAGCAGGTAGCCTCGCGTGACGACACCATACGGCAGATTCTCCGGAGTTGCGTCGAACAGCTCGCCACTTTCTGCACGCCTAAACAACTGGGAATTGTGCAGGACACGGACGTCGTGCACACTTTCAGGGTATCCCACGTGGACGTCGAGGATCCGCAAATCCAAATCCACAACCACCTGCGCCTGCACGGGGAACTTCTGTTTGCGGTCGTAGTAGTTCTCGGAAGGTGCGCCGGCGGGCTTGTCAATGTAGATGTGTGTGCAGTCGATAGCGCCGAAGCAATTTGGGAAACCCTTCTCACGGAAAGCGCGCAGAATCTGCGCACGTCTCCTGCCCATTGGCCACTTTATCGCGTCGGGGTACGCCTGCAGCAGCGCCGAAGTGACGTCACGGACGGCCTGCAGTCCAGTTGCCCTGCCGATGCCAGATGCTGACGTGCTGCTCTCGTACGTCTCTCCGGACACCCACCTGTATAACGCGAAAGCAATCAGCTGCTCCACTGGCAATGGCATTCGATACTATGTCACCTTCTTCTCCATGTATGCGGCGCACGCGGCTACGATGTGGTTGAACATGGCCGTCGACATGCGCAGCTTCTGCCAGAAGTACTCGTCCGTCGCATCGTCCCGAAGCCGGAGGTCCTCCCATGTCCCGCCAGTCCGTCGTTTGATCCACCATCGCGGAGTCTGCCGCGGGAAAACGCCAGACGTCACCGCGGCACACAACTGGACGACTGCCTCACACGTCGCCGCGCAATCCGGCGCCTCTGCAACGCTCTGCAACAGCGCTCTTCGTTGCCGGAGCCGCGTCAGCATGTCGCGCGATGAGGACTCCTTGTCGCCCATCGTGTTCATGACGACGGCAGTCACCGCCATCGCCACGGCGTCGATCTCTTCGTCGCGTAGACCGTTTGAGCAGCCATGACTGTCCATCTTTGCGGATCCTCGCACGGTTTGCCACATCACGCCTTCGACAGCCGCCTCAGACATGCCCGCCGCGGAACCCTGTCGTCGTAGAGAAACAACGCCGGAGTCCACGATGGCAACGCTGCTTTACAATGGCACACGAGACGGACACGCGTCCGGTGCTCCACGCTTCCAAAGGACAGTACGCACGCCGGAGGCGAACGTGCAGCTCACACGATCATGCGCACGCTCCTCGCAGGTTGCATACACTCGAAAGATGGATTCCGCGCGGCGAACGGCGAGGAGGCGCCGTATTTTTCAGGTCACACGCGTCGGCAGGGAGGCGCCGTCTTTTTCACGGCGCACGCGTCCGCGATAATTCAAATTCAAAATTTTGAAGTTCTGGGGAACCGCGCTTTTCACCGATCCGTCGACTCCCGCCCAAGGCCCACCGCATTCTGTACCACGGACACCGCCGAGGAATGGACGGACATCGGCGGCGCGGCTGCGTATACGCGTATGAAAACGGGCCGCGGGGAACTTTTTAGGACGAGTCCTAAAAGATGATTTTTAGGACTGCGTGTAACGACGCCGCACGAAATTCTAAAAAACCTTTAGGACTCGTCCTAAAAATTTTAGGATTCTTTTAGGATTGTCTAACGAGACCCTAAGTAAGTAAATAAACAATACCGTTATTTTCATTTTATTCAAATAATAACTAGGCTACCAGAGTGGCCCGGGGTCACTTGCCCGGCCAGGCCAAAAAAAAAAAAA